AGACTTTTTCAGATTTGGTTTCAGCAGAGCAATTTTCCAGTGATCTGGGACACGACCCTCCTGCAAGGATAAATTTACAATTTTGGTGATAGAGGGAATTAGTTCCAGACAACAGATTTTAACAAGCCATGATGGGATCGGATCAAGCTTGCAGCTGGCACTGGACAATTGCATAATAACATCATGAATAACCTGGGAAGAAAGTATCTCAAAAGATTCTAATTTGACTTCAGGATTACGGTAATGCACCAACAGAGGATCGACATGGATACTGTCCACATTTTCTCTAATCAATTCAATTTTGCGGAAGGCTATACGACACTATATGACACTATACAACGTTATGCAAAACTATACAACAATATTTAATAGATAATTACTGAGGCCAACGGCATTATTCGATATATTGCAGTTAACAATTATTCAAAACTTCTTAACTCGTTGTTATAAAAGAAGATACACATCAGAACAAATAGATATTAATATACTGTTAGAACAGACAGATAGAAAGCTGTTTGAAAAGCTGTGTAAACAAAACAATCATCCGTTAAGAGAAATCTGTCCAAAAATTAAAGAATATACAGATAAACTTAGAACACAAGAGGCACAGTGGCCAAACATGTATTTTTAGATATAATTTAGCTTTGCAACTCTAATATAACCTAAAAAATTTTTAACGTTAAAAACTTGTAATATATTTTAAAATAATTGATTTGTAACACTTGATATGTAATTTATCAATTGATTGATTAATAATAATAATAATAATAATAATAATAATAATAATAATAATAATAATAATAATAATATACAACGTTATACAAGACTATACGACACTATACAACACTATATATATGTCATTTCGATGTTTTCCTTCGAGGTTGAGTTAATAGTTATATACCCTGTGCCTGTGCCGAGCAGAGCCTTAATATCAAGTCTTCAATCATTTTCACGTTTTTCTTCGTAAATCATAACAACATTTGCCAACATTGAACATGCCTGCATCATTTTGTCATGATATTTGAACGTTCAATATAAACTTATTACTAATAAGTAAATTGTCAACACATAATTGGCTAAAATGTACCCTCAAAAAATAATTTTCTAACGAAATTATTGTCTTTTATTTGTGAAGAAATTATCGTTTTTTATATTTTTCATCATGGCGGAAAGTACAGAGCGAGGGCTTTACGGCGACTTACGAGCAATTATCGACTGACAGAAATCCAAATTTCTTATAGATAGATAGATAGATAGATAGATAGATAGATAGATAGATAGATAGATAGATAGATAGATAGATAGATAGATAGATAGATAGATAGATAGATAGATAGATAGATAGATAGATAGATAGATAGATAGA